TATAGCTCAATTTTCTAGCAAAAAAATGACACGTTTATTTCCATTACTCTCCCTGTAGCTGACTTAACATTGCATTTGGAAGTCCAGTGGAGGAAGATAATAGCAAAGATAGACTGATGATTTAGGGTAGAGACACACAGAGTAGCAGCATCATGCACCCCATCTGTCTTTATAGATTGTCTCACAGTCATCCATAGAAAATCAATGAAATGAGCTCAAAATTCACCAACTGTCCTCTGAATAGATGCATTAAAAAAAAAAATACCAGTCTATAGTACTCAGAGCCATTTAGCAGGAAGCAGAAATCCCAGCATCTCAAGGAGCAAGTGCAATAAGACCCAGAGACAGAAATTTAGGCGGTATGAGCATATGACTGGCAATGATGATTAAGGGTTATAACTACCCTCTCAAGAAGAAGGAATCTCCGCCATTAATCAGAACCTGCTGCTTATATCTTTTTTTTTAATTTTAAGTGTGAGTAATAAAGTACATACAGTTCTCATTCCTGTGTATGCATTGAAACTCTATCTTATCACAAGTTCTCCAAAAGCAGACCCTTAGACAGCAACGCTTATTTAAGTGATATAGGGAGGAATGATCTCAGAGGAAAACTGTAAGGATGAGAGAGAAACAGGATAAGGCATGTGGAGAAGCCAGATAAAGATATGAGCTCTGCTGAAGTATAGCTTTAGTCTGACCCTACAAGGAGCACTGGAGCTTGAATGGCACCTCAGAATGGTCCTAGCTTGCGACAACATGGTCTTTTTCTTCTTGTTGTTTCTAAATCACTGTTTCATTCCATTGTTGGCCATGGGCCACCCTGGAAGTGAGGGCTTGCACTCCCAGATATTTCCAGTCAATTATTTTCCTTTCGGCTGAGAACAGTTCTTGATAGAATACATTAAAGGCTGGCTCTCAAAGAAATTTAGTGAAATGTTCACTGGCCTGATAAGGGAGATCTAGGAAAGGCACAAAATTGTCTACCCAGCTTCAAAAAGTCCCAATTTACTATTGTCTACAGCTACCTAGATTTCTACACCACACCTGTTAGCATTGAGTTCTGGTGTCCAGTGGAGGCTATCCAGAGTAAGTGCCTCTCATAGAATTCATTCCTAATGATTGTAATTTCTCTCTTGGTTTTTATACATTATTCAAGAAAGGGGCTTCTTGGATGAGGTAGCATTTTTGCTGAACCTTAAAGAATGGGTAAGAGTTTGGGTGAGTGAAGTTTGGAGAAGGGATTTTCAGACAGAACAGAGTATAGAACAAAGTAAGCGAAGAATTTAATCAGAAGATATTATATTGACTGGTTTGCCTCACATGTTGAGGTTATGAAAATAGACATTGGAGATAATGCTTGGTAGCACACTAGGTACAAGATAGTACAGACAGAAGAAAACTTTGAAGGCCAAGCTGATGAGAGAGGCAATTAGGAGCCATGTGTGGATATTATGAATGGCAGTGCAGTAACTGGGATTTGTACGAAAGGCAATTTTCTTTTGCAGCAAGGTCTTCTACAGCAGAGTTGCCTCTGAGAAAGAAATCACAGTGCTCATCTGTGTGTTAATCTCCTTCCTACTCACCTTCTGAATGTTTCACAGGTAATAGCTTCTCATGACACACCATTCCCTTGCTCTGTGTATAGAGAAGAGGAGGTCTTGGGACTTGGAAAATTCTCAAAATTATAAAACAAATGATATTGTGCCAAAAGCAACATATCCCTGAGAGTATATCTACATCCCAAGATATATTTATAACAAGTTCAATTTCTATTATTTCAGTTGTTATTCAGAGAATAAGTGCAAACATCACTAAAAAGTCTCTATCATATCAGGATTTTAAAACACTTTCGTGGACATCACATTGGGTGATAAATCCACAGAGCACAAGAGTGCTGATTTCTAAAGCAGTAGTCTCAAGATAATGGTCTCCAGGGGCCCAAGGACTCTCATTAAAATCTTCATGGTACTGAGCTCCATCCCTAAGGAATGGAGAAGACACACCTTTTTGTGTTAGAGGAGACTCCAATGTCAGAGGGGACTCATCACAGGCATCCAAAGGCAAAAACTACCTTAAAACTTATCCCTGAATTATGAGATACATGAAATTGCAGGAAAGACTACAGAAAGCCATAAGTGAGTTGTGAGACTCTGAGTTCTTCCTCCAGTTTAATTACCTTATGATTTTAAGAGACTGGAAAGTGATTTTCCTTCTATACAAGGTGGGAATTTTAGTTTTTTTCTCTTTAAAAAGAATATTATTCTATATCTTCTAAGAGTCAAGTACCTATAGATGTTAATAGTCTGTTGGAAAATATTAAAGAAACTATGGGCACAGATAAGCTGGAAATTAAGAATGTTGTCAATTCTCTACTCCTGGTAGAGATGGAATCCAGAAAATTGCATGAGGGAAGCTTTGAAGAACTGAAAACAGAAAATAGCATAGCAAACTCAAGGCAAAAGCCAGGTGAATAAAGAAGGAAAGGCTTGTTAAAAACAGAGGGCTAAAAAAATCTTATAGGCATCTTCTCCAGGGCTATTGAGAAGAATGGAAATAATGTCATATGCCATAATCTTCTATCACTACTGCACTATAAAAATATGAAAAAAACAGAGTTTACCATCAACATATACAAAAAGTATCATAAAAGTCAAAAGTTCTCTACCAGAATTAATGAGAAGGACTGTGCAAATTACATATATTCTGATATCCTGGAAATTTCTCCTCGGAGAGGTTTGCCAAGAATTTGTGGTCAATATGGGTGGAGGTGTACTGTTTTTTTTGTTGTTGTTGTTTTGGGGTTTTTTTGTGCCAAAGATCAGCCCTGAGCTGACATCTGCCAATCTTCCTTTTTTTGCTGAGTAAGACTGGCCCTGGGCTAACATCCATGCCCATCTTCCTCTACGTTATATGGGACGCCGCCACAGCATGACTTGACAAGCGGTGCATTGGTGCGAGCCCGGGATCCGAACAAGCGAACCCCGGGCTGCCGCAGCGGAGCGCACACACTTAACTGCTTGCGCCACCAGGCTGGTCCCATGAGATGTAGTGTTTTGATAAAGCTCCCCTGGACACTCTGATATGCCCCTTAGTAGATGACCACTTGTGTAGGTCAGGTGTGATTTGATTGTACAGTAAAGAGGGATAAGAGCTAAAATGAGAAAATGATAGTCTCTTTCTGTTAGGCTCTAAGCAACCACTGCTGGCATTTTCAGAAGTTTGTTTGTTTGTTCACCATTCATAAACTCAATTAGTGAGCATGTAGAAAACTTCTGTACATGCATTCACACTGCTGGGTGACTAGTTTCTTAAAACCCATTTAGAGAACAGCCAACTATCTCTAGTACATGTCCAAATAAAATAAATGCTAAATAGAGTGGGGAAAAAAAAGGGTTATGGAGGAATTAGTAAATGCATTGAAATAATAACTAGGAGAGGCTTTCTGGAGAAGAAGGAATTCCATTTTTTCCTATGGCCATTGAAAGAATCTTACTCAAAAATGTACATTCACTAGACTTAGACTGCAAGATGGGGATACAAAATTTTAAAACTGCTCTCTGCCCTGTCTAGTATAAGGGGTCAACTTTTTAAAAAATTTTAAAAAAGAAAGAAAACTTGATCTCAATAAAATGGGATGTGATTCTGAAAGAATTGACTAGCACTGCCAGGGAGGTTTAGGTAGGCTTCTGAGGGGAAGTGACATTTGAATGGTCTTTTCAAGAATGCTAGGCTTCTAGCAGGCAGAGAAGGGCAGGAAGGACATTGTAAGTTAGAGAAAATAATGTGCGCAAAGCAGAAGAGCCATGAAGGGCATACAATGTTTGGAAAATTGTAGGACGTTCCCCATAAATGGGAGGTTGACAGCAGGAAATGAGACTGGAGAGGAAAGCCCTTGAATCCCATGCTATGACAATTGCACTGAGGGAGGCCTTATAATCAACCAACCAAGCAAGTGGGTCTCCAGATTCTCACTGCCTTGCTGTAAATACACAGTGCATGTACACTTACTAGCTATATTACCTTTGGAAAGTTAAGCAACTCTCTAAGCCAAAGTTTCCTTAATACAAACATGGTCATAATAACAGCACTTATCTCTGAGGAAAGCTATGAGGATGTGTGAGATCATAAAACTGAAGCATGCAATAAAGATTAGAAGTTATTAGAACTATCTACTGTGTAAACAAAGGATATCTAAAAGAAGTCTATAAAGAAGAGATGTAGCATGATTATAGATTGAACATAGAAAAGCTGGTAGTAGGTGAAGGATAAGACAGGGAGAGGGAAAGACAAGGCTGTTGCAAATCCATGAGCAATAAGTAGGATGCAGGACACATGTTTCAGTTAGGATCCTGGAATTTGAAAATGTGGACAACAGAAGATGAGGAGTTGAATTAATCCAAGTGAGGGCCTGATAAATGAGTAAAAGTCTGATAGAAGAAAAATGGAGGAGGGGCAACTGAGGCATATGGAACGTCATGTGCAAATGTACAGCAACATGAAGGATCATGATGTGTTTGGAAAATAGAGGGTACTATTGTCTGGTTTGAGGGTAGGGTAGGGAGAGGGATGTGGTGGAGACTGGGCCAGGAGCAGTGTCTAGGGATCAGTTTGTGATGAGCACTAACTATCATGCTGGGGTATTTGGATTTCCTCCTATAAGCAGTGGGTAGTCATTCACTATTTCTGACACTATCAGTGACTTAATACATCCTGTTTTTAGGAATCTAACACCTGGTCACAATGTGGTGAATAAAATAAAATTGTAGGACACTTGTGATTAATAGACAACTACAGAGGTACTATATTCACCCTGTGGGATAGGTCCAGGACAACAGCAGAGGGAATAATAAAAAAGGATAAGGATGCTGGCAAATGGACATCTGGATTTTCAAGTGATTTATTGGGTAAAAAGATGAGGGAAGAGTAAAAAATGGAGTCCAATGGTGGATCTCTGATGTCTATAGCTAACTCAAATAGGAGGTATTCCTGGAAGCTCTGACATGTGGGGAAACACGGCCGGTTCTGTTCTGAAAATCCTACATCCAGGTATTGGAGGTCATTCCAGCATTGGAGATGTACCAAAGGAAATTGGAGGTTCCTTTTTGTTAGAGGCAGGAATTGGAGAGTCACAAAAGGTAAGTGGTAGCTGAAGCAATAAGAAAGGAAAAATGTTTCTTTTCAAGGACTAGGAAAGCTTCAGAGGAAAGAGTGTACAGTGGTCTCCAAGATAAGCCATATGTGTCTTGGGTTAATTTCCAAGTAGTAGAGTTTCCCACCAGAGGGTCTTTGTGTTCTCTGTGAACTGTGCCTGTGATGCTCTCTCCCCTGATCTTTACCTGTTGGTTGCTCATTGCCATTCTATTCTCCACTTATGTATGTCACCTCCTCAGAGAGGGCCTCCCCGACTCCACAAACAAAGGTGGTCATTCTCCCACATCACAGAGATCCTATGTGTCTTGTTCCATGTTGTGTTTCCCATGTAGAAAGAGCCTGGCACATCGCATGCATTTAGTCAATATGTGTTGAATTAATTCATGACTTCGATAGTCACTTAACCACTCAGTACCTTGCTTTATCTTTTATAAAATCAGAATGAAAATTCCTACCACACAGACTTGTGAGAATTACCTGAGACAGCTCTGTCTAACTGCAGCATATCATTTGGCACATTATAGGTATTAAATAGGTGCTGGTTACCTGGCCTGAACCCTCTTGTATTCTTTGCCCATAACTAGAATGCAAATAGAAAATACCAACTCTTCAACTAACAATATATTTATTTTGTTTTTTGTTTTCTGTTTTTAATCTTTATGAATCCTACCGAATAATTTCCAGCCAGTGTTTCTCTCTTTCTCTTGCACATTTCTGTATCCACTGGTTCCTTACTACTTTTATTTCCCTTTACCTGTGACAGAAGTTAAAATCAAAATTTTATAGTGTGTCTTCATGTCACTTTTATGCCTTTACCTTCTACAATATTGAATGTTTAATGAACAACTGAAATAGAAATATGATTTTCCAAATAAATCTGAGGAATGTGGGTTGATAATATTCAGTTCTGTACTTCAAAGCACACCACATAACAAGTATACCTGCGAGAAGATATCCTGGAAGTTTAGCTAAAAACTCAAAAGTTGACTCAAACACAATGACCAGAATATGCCCTTCTAGAATGAGACAGTACCTTCAAAATCATTTTGACTCCAAGCTAGTTCATTATATTATATCAGGCATCTGGAAAAGAACTATAATGAGAAGCTCTTAAGAACTTAAAAATTATTCATATATATTAAGAACTAAAGATATTAAGTATCTCAAGCTCCAATTATTACCATGGATAGGAATCCAACAGAAGTTATAACATGTTAAATTCATTTATTTGGTCTAGTCGTTGTCACAGTTATCACCTTTGCGGTTGCTTCATGGTGGTTCACTGATGAAAAGAGGATTACATTGAAAGAAAAGTCAAAGATCTTTTAGGAAATTTCACTGCTCTCCCTAAATTTTTTAAATGTTATATTCATTTTAAGTGACATAAATGATTGAATTATGTTATTCATTCGATCAATAGTTTATTAAGCACTTCTGAATGCCAGGGTATCATTAGATCACAAAAGGCATTTGCAAAATATGGCATCACAAAATCCAGTGGGTCAGAACAAAGCAATTTTATTCATATTTTTCCCCTTACATGCAGATCCTGATTGGAAAAGAGAGAGATAATGAGTGCTTTTGTGAGTAGAATCCAAGAAGATATTTGGGCCCACTCTATGTCATTTATGCAGATTCTCATACTAGGATCATTCTCACCACTCTGACTCCTGAACTTGACTTCAGTGGGTGCATTTAGCATCCCTTCCTCAGGCTCTCCCATGAAGAGTTTCCTGAAATTTGCACAGGTGTCTTTTATTAAAGTCTAGGTGACATCAATTCACAAGGATCTTTTTACAAACACCCAAAGTCTTAATCTCAAGAACCTCTGCACTTTTGGAGCAAAGTTGCTGTGCCCCCCAGGAGGATGAGCAATCGTACCACAGTGAGCACATTCCTTCTGTGGGGATTTTCCAGTTTCCCAGACCTGCAGAGTCTCCTCTTTGTGGTGATTTTCTTCTCCCACGTGACCATCCTAGCTGCAAATGTGTCCATAATGGTGGCCATCAAGCTCAGTCACAACCTTCACACCCCCATGTACTTTTTCCTCGGTGGCCTGTCCTTTTCAGAAACTTGTACCACTATGGTAATCCTCCCCCGCATGTTAGTGGACTTGCTATCAGAGAGCAAAACCGTTGCTCTTTCTGAATGTGCCACACAGATGTTTTTCTTCTTTGGCTTGTCAGGCAATAACTGCTTCATCATGGTTGCCATGTCCTATGACCGCTACACTGCCATTCACAACCCACTGCATTATGCCATCCAGATGACCCACAAGATCTGCTTTCAGCTGATTTTGGCCTCTTGGGTGGTTGGATTCATGGTTTCTCTGTGTATCATCTTCATTGTATTCAACTTATCTTTCTGTGACTCCAACACCATCCAGCACTTCTTCTGCGACATCTCGCCTGTGGTCTCCCTTGCTTGTGATTACACTTTGTATCATGGAATGGCTATTTTTGTGCTCTCTGCCTTTGTGTTGGTGGGCAGTTTTATTTTAATTATGATTTCCTATGTCTTCATTGGGTCCATAGTTGTGAAGATGCCTTCTGCAAAGGGGAAGTATAAGGCCTTCTCGACTTGCTGCTCCCACCTCACTGTAGTGTGCATCCACTATGGATTTGCTTGCTTTGTTTATTTGAGGCCCAAGGACAGTGACTCATTCTGTGAAGATATGCTGATGGCTGTGACATACACAGTGCTGACACCTCTGCTTAATCCTATCATTTACAGTCTAAGAAACAAAGAAATGCAGATAGCCCTAAGGAAGGTAGTAGACAATGCAAATAGGTTTATCTATCAGATGGTAAATAAAAGAACTCTGCACATTAAAAAATTTATAGTTTTCTGATAAATAAAAGTACAAAAAAGGGAGTACCTCCAATAAAAATCATCACTTTGTGAAAGCAATTAAAGTATTATCCAATTACCAGATACATCCTGGCATCACCATTTTTCTAGTACAAACAGGACACATTTTAAAAATATTTTTAAGTATGTGTGCATGCATTTATATGTGTATATATACAAATACGTATTCAGTAAAGGAATCAAAACATGTTTTGAAATGCAGTATTTTCATGACAGTAGTTGGATAAATCTTTCTGTTTATGGATTGTAGTTTTAGTGTCAATTCCCAGAACTTTTTGACTAGCCCTTTATCTTAAATATTTTCTTCAATTTTTTTCTAAAGTTTGGTAGTTTATAGTTCTACATTTTATATTCAAGTCTATGGTCTATTTTGAGTTAATTCTTGTATGACATGTGAAGCTTAGGTTGAGGTGCTTCTGGATGTCCAATTGCTCCAGCACCATTTTTGAAAAGCCTTCTTTCTATCAGTGGATTGTTTTCACACCTTTTGAAAAAATCAGTTGGGCATCCATATGTGGGTCTTTCTCTGGGTTCTCCAGTCATGTTTATTGTTCTGTGTGTCTTTTCTTCCACCAGTCCACACTGTCCTGATGACTCTAGCTATATAATAAGCCTTAATATCCAGTACAGTGATTCTTCCTACTTTACTCTTCTCTTTCAAGGTCATTTTATATATTCTAGGACCTTTCCTCTTTAGTAATGTAAGGATTTAGTGCTGTGAATTTCCCTCTCAATACTGCTTTACCTGAATCTCACATGTTTTCGTATGTTGCCTTTTAAAATTTTCATTGTGTTCTACATATTTTTTTAAATACTGAAGTTCCAAATCTTCTTTTTATCATTACTTTCTGTTTGGAGAACTTCCTTTGCCACGACTTAGAGGTAGATTTGTTGGGAAAAAATTCTTTTAGCTATCTTTCATTGGAAATGTCTTCATTTCTCTTTCATTCTTGAAGGCTATTTTTCCCAGATATAGAACTTACATTTGAAAATTCTTTCTTTTAGTACTTGAAAAATATTGTGCCCATTCCTTCTGGCCTTCGTGATTTCATGAGAACCTTTTTATATATATATTACTTTTTCCAATAAGTAATGAGTCCTTTGTCTCTGGGTGCTTGCAATATTTTTCTCTGTTTTTAATTTTTAGAACTTTAATTATGATGTGTCTTGGTATGTATCTCTTTGAGTTTATCCTGTTTGATGTTTGCTGAGCTTCCTAAATCTGTAACTCTATGTCTTTCACCAAATTTGGGAAGTTTGCAGCCATCATTTCTTCAAATACTTACTCAGTCCCCCTTTCTTTCTCCTCTCCTTCTGGGACTCCCCTTTTACGAATGTTAGCTCATTTTTAATGGTCCCACAGACCCTTGTAGCCCTGTTCTTTATTTTTTTCAATCTATTTTATTTTCATTTATGTCAGGTATTTCTATTTATCTTTATTCAGGTTCACTGATTCTATCCTTTATCATCTCCACTCTACTATTGAGCCCATCTAGCCAGTTGTTTTATTTTTTAACTTCAGTGATTATATTTTTCAGTTCTATCATTTGTGCTTGGCTATTTTTTATAACTTCTACTTCTTTGCTGAAATTTTCAGTTTTTTAATTTGTTTTAAGAAAATTAATGCTACCTTATTGATGCATTTGTTTGATAGCTGCTTTAAAATCTTTATCAGATAATTTCAACATCCTATTCATCTTGGTGTTGGCATATATTGTCTTTTCTCACGGACATTGTGATTTTTCTGGTTCTTGGTATGACAAGGGATTTTTGATTGTATCCTTGACATTTAGGATATTATATTATGAGACTCTGGATCATATTCAATCATTTTTTAGGAGGAGGTCCCCCTGTTGAGTGTTGCTGCAACCACCAGGTGACTGTTGATGTTCAACTTCCTGCTGAGCACTATTGACACCACTCCGGCAAAAATAAAATGCTAACTCACACAGCCTCCTTACAGATGAATGAGATGGAAGATCAGCTCCCCCCTCCACCCTGTTGTCTCCTTCCCACTGTTAGTGTGATACTGACTTGCACTCTTCCTCGTCTCCAAGAAAGCTCACTTCCTTAATGGCCACACTGCTACTAGGTTGGGGGAAGTGTAGAGTGGTACACACTGCTTTGTTGTTACAAGCTGGAGGTGGATGTTCAGCTGGCCAGTGGTGCACTCACAAATAGGGTTAGAGGTGAGGGGAGTGGAGTACCATTAGTCCTGCCTGACACTCCCTCAGTAAGTCTCATTTCTTCCAAATGACAGTGGAGGCTCATTTCCTCTCTGGATCCCACTGACACTACCAGGGAAGGAGAATCAGAGGGTGGGTGGGGTGAAAAATCAGCTCCCTACTTGACCCCACTGAAACCTGGGGATGAGAAGCAGATACAGTTTTTCCATTGGTGTTTGTCTGGAATAGGGCAGGTATTGCCAGAGGTTTTCTGTTCTGTTAAGGCCACCCTTTTCCCATTTCTTCAGCTCAGAGGAACAGACTTTTCCTAGAGCTATTTTTGTCTGTGTCCCTTGGCAGTTATCTTCTGCAGCACCCTGTCCAAGATCTATGGAAGCAATAGGGAAACCCAGGGACTCATTGCTATGTGGTTCCTCAGGTCCTGAAGTCCCTAGGAGTCTACCTTCTTCTTCCTGTCAGAGTCTTCCTATGCTTGTTTGTTATGTCACATCTAAGAGTGTTTTTAGTAATAATAAGGAGGACCTAGAGGAATAGAGCTATTTCAACTTCAATGGAACCACAAGTCTATGCCTTCAAATGTTTAAAGATATTTATCCAGCTTCTGATTTATTTTGTATCAGAAAGTTGGTCTAATACAAAGTAGCCTGACGTATCCAGTTGTAGGAGTCTTCGTACTTAACTTTGAACAGGAAGGGTTGGCTAGAATGGGATGTGTGGGAGACAAATGAAAGTCCTGCAATGGTGAAATATCCTCAAAGAGCCCATCACTCCGCCCCTCCACAGAGAGCATATGCCCTAAAAGAAGTCCAAGTAGTAAGAGGATATTTGTGACCTTGAGCTTTTGCTTAACATTTATGTGCCTCAGTTACATCGTCTGTAAAATATGGGTTGAAAAAAACTTTATCGGGTTATTCTGAGGATTAATTGGGTCATTACTTGTAAATCACTGGGAACAGTACCTGAGATGCAGGGAGCAATCTAATATTATAGTTCCTATTGCTAATGTTCTGACTACTACTATTACTAACATCGGACTTCTAGATCTTTTAAATCTCCAACCATGCAAATAGATAAGGGAGATATGTGTTCTCAGCAGAGGGTGATTACAAAACTTTTACTAAACTAGGCTAGGATTCTAGTTGCCAATCTGATTGAAACAGTGTTGAGGCAGTGGCATAATTGTGGTGAGCGTGGGTTTACGTAAAGCCTGTCACAGTTGTAGCAGGATGTGATAACAAACATTCCCTTGAATCAGGCTGACATTCAAATAGATTCAAAGGCAGCACAGTCAGTGGTTCATGCCAGAGCAAAAGTTTCCTTCAGCAATCTGTTCCTTTATTAATTTTTCATTCACTCATTTCAAAAATTCATTTATGTTTATTATATTCCAGGAACTGTGAAAATTAGACTCATGGGGAAAGAAGAAAGACGTTGTAGGTGACCATATGAAACTTCCCTCATTTCAAGAAAACAAATCGTGATTCTGTAACTACAAGTGCAGTGAGTATTCCAAAAAAAATATGTAGGGTTCTATGGGGGATAGCATGGGTACTTAATTTGGTCTTGAGCTTCTAGAGGGCATCTGAGAGGATGAGTAACAACATTTAGCGTGGTACCTATAGCATTAGAAGGCATTACCCAGGTGGAGGGAAAAATGCATCCAGGTAGAGGTAGTGCATGTGAGAGGGTCCTGAGACGGCAAAGAAGATGGATTCAACCTACAGTGGGTAGAAAATAGACCAAGAGAACTATTCAGCTATAACATGGGCAATTTTTTTACTATAAAAGGAAGGATGGTTCAGAGAATGCAACCAAAAGCCTAGAAGGAAAAGCCAAGAGCCACAGAGACTTAAGCAGGGAGCAGGGCTAGACTGATTGAAAAAAAAAAAATGGCAACATTTATCTAGTTGGATTTGGAATTTCTATGGGGCAGTGTTGTTATATGACTCCTATATTTCCCTTTTATAAACAGGACTGTTCACTGCAGTTTTTTTACTTCTGTATCAACAGTGTCTAATAGGTGTGCAGGGGTCATATGACTTATCACTTTAGTTTCCAGGTCTTCAAACAAAGAGGGAGTGTATTTGAAAAGTTGTGCCCAAGGAACCTCACCCATGTCTGAACCTGATTTATATCTCATGATGGTGGACTCATTGCTGATGCTGTAATGGCATGATATTCAGGGGAAACATGAGAGGATATGAATGTATTTTGGCATGTTGTAAATATATAAATAATTGTGGTCATAAGGATTGTGGAAGATTGGAGATGGTTGCAAAGTCTTTCTAAGTCTCTTTGAAAGATACAATCTAACTTCCCTCCCCTATAATATGGTCTAGCTTTAGTGATTTGTTTTACCAATAGGGGACAGTGGAAATGATGTTCTGCATCTCCTGGGGCTGGTCATAGGATACACTGCAGCTTCCATTTTAGTCTCTTGGGACACTTGCTATTGGAGTCCTTAGCCATTGTGTGAGAAATTCAACTACTCTGTTGGTAAGACCATATGGAGAGACTCTAAGACTACATGGAGAAGGACAGGCTTTCAAGCCATCCCTGCAAAGGTGCCAGGCATCCAAGTGAAGCCATCTTTAGACATGCCCAGATGCCATCTGAATATCACTAAGTCACTCCTGTTACTGCTATGTGGAGAAGAAGAAATGCTGAGCCAAACCCTATCTGAATTCCTGAGTTGGAAAATAATGTGATATAACAAAATGGTTTTGTTTTAAGCCACTAAGTTTTGAGAGACTTGTTATGTAGCAATAGATAACATGAACATCACTTTTCCTCAACTAATAAATGACATCCCATTCACAATCACTGAATAATCTAAGCCAAAAGTTTCTGAGGTTTCCTCAACTAATTTTTTTAATTTTTAACCTCTCACACTAATCCATCAGCAAGTCCTTTCTGGTTCTTTAATTAAACTATATCTTGAATAGGTTAATTTCTCTCTAATCACATTGCAGTCACTCTAGTCCAATGCACCAGCACCATCTCAGGTCTTGACTATTAACCTGACTGGTCCCCTGCTCCCACTCTTCCCTTTTAGAACCAATTTTCCATACAACAACCAGAGTGATCTTTAAAAACATGCTCATGTTAGATTAAACCTATTTTTAAAAATCACTTAATGGCTTTCCATTCCTTTTAGAATAAAATCCAAACACTTTTCCATGGTCTACGAAGCTTCCCATGATGTAACTCTTTTTGAATACCTCTCCCCTCCTGGTTTACCATGGTATCTTCATTTCTTGAGATGATCATGATCTTTGCACTTGTTGTTTTCTCTCTGGCAGCTTTTCCCCACTCTCCATCTCAATGGGTCTTTCTCATCTTTCAACTTTCCACTCATCTGTCACATTCCCCAGTGACTTTCCTTGTCACTCTCTCTAAGGTAACACCACCCACATCACCGTAGTTACACCATATACATGGTATCAACCCAATTGACTTGTCTCTTCCACAACACTTATCATGTTCTGTATTTGTAATGTGTGTTTATTCCCTAGTGTCTACCCACTAAAATCTAAACTTCACATGAACTCTGTTGTATTCATCAACATATCTTCAGTGTTTTCTCAGTTCCCAGGATATAATAAAGGTTCAACAGATATGTTTGAAATGAATGGATGAATGACTATTCCATATCTACCTGTAAAATGACTTCAAGGCCTTGATCAGATATTCCTTACAGACTTTGAGATGATGTCATCAGGAAATTATCAATATTTGAGACCTCCTCCCCCAACTTCTTCCTGAATTATTCAAAACGTGCATATATAAATATTAACAGCTCTAGAAATTAATGTTTGCCACTGGTTTTTGACTCAAATTAATTCCCAATTAGCAAAGCTCAAATGATACCTGACATTGAGGGTATTATGCAAAGTGAAATAAGTCAGAGGGAGAAGGTCAAATACCGTATGATTTCCTTCATTAAGTAGTAGATAATAACAACAATAAACAAACACATAGGGACAGAGATTGGATTGGTGGTTACCAGAGGGGAAGGGGGGAGGGAGGAGGGTGAAAGGGATAATTCGGTACATGTGTGTGGTGATGGGTTGTAATTAGTATTTTGGTGGTGAACATGATGTAATCTATGCAGAAATAGAAGTACAATGATGTACACCTGAAACTTTTACAATGTTATAAACCAATGTTACTGCAATAAACAAAAAATTTAAAAAAAAATAGATGAAAATACAAAACAGTGTTAAACTCAAAAACAGTAGTGGGAAAAACAGAATAATAAACATTATTTTAACAAAAAAAAAAATGATACCTGAGGTAAAATACAGAAGACCTGTGAACACTCTGACCTCTGAGATGTGGGTCCAAAGTGTCCAGAAGGAAGCTAGTTTTTATATTCAGGACTTTAGAGTTCACACAACTGAAGTTCTGAGATGTCATGGAACTCAGGAGGTACCTGGAATCATTACAGGACAATTGGAAATGTTGTTCATCAAAAGTTCAATATTACATTGACACCTCGAAAGATGCTCATAGCAAGAGATGATATTGTCTCTTAGCTCCATTATACCAGATGCCTGAAAGAGTGAACACATATATTGCTGAGACCATTCCTGCTTTTAGAACTCTACAAGATCAAATGGAAGCCTGCATACCTAAATAGCCTCACCCTGGGAGATATTTTCATGTGCTATTATGATGGACCGAATAATCATTAATGACTCAATGGGATTCTAGTAATTCTTATTTATATTTCATTCTCCCCAGGTAAAGACAGACTCAATAAAGATTCTAGTATCTTTAGACTCTTATGATCATTTTGCTATGAAGTGTCTGTAACCACACACCAGGTAAGCAGTCTCTGACATAATAGAAATATATCTTTGGTCTCTGCCCTCAATTCCTGACACAAAGCTTCTAAAACCCTTGTAATTTTCTGAGTGTTAGTGGTGCAAGGAGCATCTTTTGTTCTAATATTTGGTCTTTGACACTGGTTCCTGACACAGAGCTCCCAAATCCCTTGGACTTTCCCGGCTGATAGGAGCATCTTTTGTTCTAACAAGGGGATTCTTTGAGGGGTCTTGGATAGCTTCAGGAAGGGATCTGGTCACCAAAAAGACCAAACCATGATTAGAAGCTTGGAAATTTCTGCCCCACTTCCTATTCTGCAGGAAGGAGAGAGGGGTTGGAGTTTGAGTTAACATCAATTGTGTTGTTATTATTGTCTTCCAGTCAATTCCCACTCCTAGAGACTCTATGTACAGCAGAGCAAAACCCTGCTCGGACTTTTTGCACCATCCTCTCACCTTTTAGTGCTGTATTAGACAATGCTCCACTGCTATTCATAGGGTTTTCATGGCCAATTTTTTTGGGGGGAGGGAAGTGGGTGGCTAGGTCCTTCTCCCTAGTCTGTCTAAATCTGAAAGCTGTCCACCATGGGTGACCCTGCTGGTATTTGATATACTGGTGGCATAACTTTCAGCATCACAGCAACACACAGCCGCCACAGTATGACAATTGACAGATGGGTTGTGGGCTCTGTGACTGGAAATGAACCCACGCCATGGTGGTGGGAGTACCAAATCTTAACAACGAGACCACCAGGGCTGGTATCAATCATCTAGCCTCCATAAAAATCCCGAACTATGTAGTGGAGAGCTTGCATGTTGGTGAACACATCCAAGTGCCAGGAGGGTGGTACACTCCAGCTTCATAATAAATAAAATAGAATAGAAGCTCCTGCCCTGGGGACCCATCCAGACCTCGTGCTATTTATCTCTGCATCTGGTTGTTTATTTGTATCCTTTATAATATCTTTTATAATAAAGTGGTAAATGTAAGTAAATGTCTCCATGAGTTTTTGTGAGCCATGACAGCAAATTGTCAAACCTGGGAGAGGGTTATGGGAACCCTGGACTTTGTAGCTGAGTTGGACAGAAGTGCAAGTACCCTGGGGACCCATTACTTGTAATTGATGTCTGAAGTGAGGGCAGTCTTGTGGGACCGAGTCCTTAAACCTGTGAAGTCTGATTCAACCTCCAGGTAGTTAGTGTCACATTGAATTAAAGACTAGGGCATCAAATTGATGTTCAGATATTTAGAAAATACTGGTTTTCCAATTGGTTGTTATGGGGGGAAAACACCACATATTTCATGTCAGAAGTCTTGTGAATAGAGAAACAGTTTTCCTTAATCCATTAATCATTTCACATAGTTTTTTTCAGCTGTATTACCTTTTAATCTTTGCTAGACATTTTCCACTTAAAATTTGCAACAATGTTATAGATATTCTACATTTTTACTTAGCAGTATATTGTAAATAGTTTACATTTCATTATACTTTTTCCTTATATCTCCCAATCCTCACTTCTCTCACCCCGTTACACGGAGACAAGGACTTTCATAATCTTAGTCTTGCTTTCAGAAGCTCTAAAAAGTTGTCTCAGTATTTGCTTTGAGTCCAGAGTTCCTGTACTCCAAAAAAATCTCTCCTCGCCCTCTCCAGTCTCACGATGATGAAGCAAATGAGGGTAGATCATACCCAAGAAATGCTAAAACATTTTTAGTTTTTTTTCTCTTATGGGTTTTAATTTCTTCATAAATCCAGACTGTGGAACTATGATTGTTGTTAACATGTTAATTACAATGTTTAGAATTAAAAGATATCCTTTTTAATTCCTACAAATAAAGACTACATTACGTCAAATGGGACTATCTGTTTTTAAGATGTGCTTAATTATGGATAGACTTCCAGTCAAATCATGTGATTTTAGTGTCCAGAGCTGATTTCCTAAAAGGTAGGAATTAGACCAGTTTTCCCATCCTAGTTCTTTTTTTGGAGTTTTTACAACCTAGACCTTCTTTGAGATAAGGTTGTTCAAAAGAATGATACACAGTAACAGATTAGGCTTGATGACCCTGTTTAAATCCTCTAGATCGGTAATGATGCTGAAGTCATTAGACCAATAGTGTCGTTACTTCTGTAGATTAAGTGAATGGAATCAGAGGACTTGAGTCCTCTTGAGTCCACACCTCTCTGGACAAACTATTGGATCTCCCTAAGACTCAGTACTCTAATCTGTAAATTGAGGTAAATTAAAATACCAGCATCATGGGATTGCTGTGATAATTAAATGGAGAAGCATAGTGGTTTTGGACTCAGACTTTCTAAATTCAAACACTGGTCCCATAATTTTCTAGCCACGTGAATTTGGGCAATCTGCTTAATGTCTCTGTGTCCCAGATGATTTATTTGTAACATAAAAATAATAGTACTACTTCATAGAGTTTTTATGAGGAATAAACCAGTTAATACATGTAATGAACTTAGAATAGGGCCTGACACATGGTAAGTGCAAATTATTGTTTGCTAAATAAATTAAATTTTAAAAAGCACTTGGCACCTACAGGTGTTCAAAAATAGTGATAATTACTACTATTGTTATACTTATTTCAAGGTCTCTCTCAATTAGTTTACAAGTATATAAAAGTGAGAGTTTGAAGAAGTGTGATGTTAATTTAAGCAATCAATTAGCAGCATTTGATATGTCTTAAGTGTGACATTGGAAAACAAAAACTTTATGGGTCGCCTGAAATGCTCTGAATGGATCCTAAGATTATATTCTGACAGTTGCCTTTCTCAGGGCCTCCTTTACATCTCTATTCCTCAGACTGTATATGAGAGGGTTCAACATGGGGATCACCACTGTGTAGAACACAGACACCACCCTGTTCTGGTCAGTTGAGTAGCTGGACTTGGGCATGACATAAATGAAGGTAATAGTTCCATAGTAGAGAGTAACTGCAGTGAGGTGGGATGTGCAGGTGGAGAAGGTCTTGTGTCGCCCTTCAGTGGAGCGCATCTTCAGGATGGTGGTGAGGATGTAGATGTAAGAGAGAGCTATGACAAACACTGTAACCACGATGATGGATCCAGAAGAGATGGAAGGGATAATCTTAATAGTGGAGATATCTGAGCAGGAAAGTTTCAACAAAGGGGAGAAATCACAGAAAAAGTGATCTATTTCATTTGGTCCACAGAAAGACAGACTCCATAAACAACTAGAAAATGTCCAAGCGTTCACACATCCACCCAGATAGGAAGCCCCCACCAAGAGAACACAGATTCTGGGGGACATGTGGGTAGAGTAGAGCAGGGGAGAGCAGATGGCCACATAGCGATCATAGGCCATGGCAGCCAGCAGGAAGCACTCGGCTGTCCCAAATGTGACCACAAAACAGAGCTGGGCTTCACAGCCAGCAACAGGGAGGGTGATTTCATGTCCAAGGAATCCTACAAGCATTACAGGTGTGACTGATGTGGAACACCCGATGTCCACCAAAGCCAAATGGCTGAGGAAGAGATACATGGGAGTATGAAGGTGGGAACAGCTTCTTATTAGAGTGATTATGCTGATAATGGCAACTAAGGTGACAACATATATTTCTAGAAATGTCACAAAGAAGATGACACAAAGTGTAGGGTCCTTTGTTAAGCCCAAAACGAGGAACTCTGTCACGCTGGTGTGGTTTCCAACCATCTCACTTGTGAATTCTTCCTGTTCAAGAAAATGAGAATACTCATTTGTTTTGTGCTTTCGTTCCACACATTCCCAGTTTTCTTTGGCTATTCATCAGACTCATTCACAGTGATTTCTTCCTCTGGCCAGTCTGTAAATAAGGTGCTCTAGAGGATTTTTTTTTTTTTTTTTTTTTTTTGTCTCTTTCCTGTTGCACAAAAGGAGAATGATTCAACCTCACTCTCTGGGATCTCAGTTATATTCTTTTATGTATCTAATATTTGTTTTAAAACACCTCTCCATCCTTGACCTCTAGACAGATCTCTGTCCCAAGGTCCAGATCTATAGTTTCAACTATCTATTGGAAGTCTCCAGCTGGAAATTCCACAGATACCCCAAACTCAGCCTCCTCCATACTAAACTCACTCTTTTCTTGGACCACTTTTCCTGTGTTCTATATCTGTGGAATAACACCACCCTCCACCCAATATCTCCTGTCTGAAACATGGAGTCATCCTAGCCTTCTCCCTCACCTTGTACCACATCTAATAAAATCCTATTGATTCTATCCACAATTTAGCTCCCAATTTTATTTCTTCATCTCCTCACTTCCATTCCTAGTGTCCTTGCTTTAGTCAGGGCCCTGGTCATTTTTCCTCTTTATTTGTTTACTTCCCTGTCTTTGTTCTTATCCCCTTATAATTCACAATACCTCTGCCAAAGTGACCTCTTGCTGAAGTAAAAAGTAGGTGATGCCAATGGGATTCTTTTAAGTCTTTCAGTGCTTTCTCAAGCCCTCAAGATGAAACCTAACCTATAGCACAGCACAGTGCACACTTTCTAATATAGACCCTGCATATGACTCTTTGTTTGTTTCTCAGGATATTTTCATCCAACATGCACTCATCCAACCTTCCTGAACCACTTAGAGTCCCCTCAATGCACTCCACTCTCTTTAGCCTTTGATCCTTTTTCTCCTGCTTGGAGGGCTGCCAACCTCCCACCATCTTTATCCTGGGTGACTTCTACTTATCCTCAGAGATTCATTTCTCTCCAAAGCTTTCTCTGACTTCTAAGGTTTATCAGATGACTTTCCTTTCTGTTGACATCATGCTTTGAAGATGTCTAGATTGCCACTGTTTATACTGGGTTATGGTTTTTGTTGTTGTTTGCTTATTTACATTTCACTTTCCCCAATTATTAATTACATATTATTCTCAATAACTGTGTGTTTTATCCCTGTATCAAAAATAACTAGTACTTGGGAATCAAATGTGCTGAGGAAAAACTTGTTAACTGAGTGAATGCATGATTAGCCTAATGAATAGGCTGTGGGGAACCAGAGGTGAATATAATTTCAGTTCCCTGTGCAGAGAAACCAGGCGTTGTACAGAAGAAAGACAGCGAAGATATTATTCGTGCATAAGAAGTCTGTAATGATAGTATAAGCAAAGTAATAGCTTATTTCGTTTCTAAATAAACATTATATAACCTTGTTGATGAAAAACAGGAAAACTTGAAAATTCCTCTCAAATCTGACTACTATCACATAAGTCAACTGTTATAAGTTTGGTAATTTCTTTCCAGGAATTTTTTATTATAAATTTTTGATAGTATTTTTACTTTATTTTTCAGCATAAGAATTTTGTCACATTGTAATTCCTCATAAACATAATTTTTGAGATCTGCTTGATAATGCGTTGAGTGACTAGATCTTAATTAAATAATCATCTGCTAACGTTGCACATTTAACTGTTCACAACTTTTTACTATCAGAACTGGTAATCCCACAAATTGGATGAAGCAACAGGAGGAAAGCATAACAACATAGAATAATTTTTAAATTAATCCCTTTCCTAGGTATTTTTCTTAAGACATAACTCGAAAGAAGTATGTTCTATGCTCTAAGAAAAGTGTACCCCCATGATTTGCAATGATGAAAATACTAAACCAAAGTGCTTGGTGGTCAATGCTTTGTTGAGTCTTGGCTGCATTTTCATTAAGAGTTTAGTATCTTCTCCATGTTTTGACATTGTGGTATGACAAAGGGAAAGTTCCTGTGTTTTGAGGCAGTCCTAAGAAAGCAGAATTAACGATAAATAATAAGGGAACACACAGAGAAACTACTGCAGTCCAATCCAAAAATTTCAGGGCATATTAAAGATTCAGTGAAAATTAGAAAAGAAAGTTATGTTTATCAGAATGAGAAAATAGAAGAGTAAAAATAACTTTAAAATATTTCTTTCAATTATTGCCAAATAAAAAATTTTTAAATTGGGATTTATTTTAGTGATTTGAAAATTTCACTCATGCACATCTTTTCTTTCCATTAAATTCAGCTAAAAAATATCCCTGTAGGTAAGTTCTACAGATTTACAAATCCTTTGTGCATGCATTTTCTTTTAATTTTTTACGTATAATTAATAACTAAGGAAAGACTCACCTATAGATCTTTAACAATGCTTCACAATCTATTTTGATTTATTTCAATGAGGGGGCATATATAAGTAGTATTTACATATTTGTAATCATTATATATCATTTTGTAATTTACATTTTCACTTAATGTTATCAGCAAAATATTTCCCAATCTCCTGAGTAATCTTCATAACTGAAATGCTGGATGGAATGATGTTAAACTCCTAACATGCTATTCATAATCTATCCCTGATTAGTTTTCTAAACGTCTCCCTATATATGCTTTCTTACAACTTTTGTGCTTTTAAGAATTATGTTGAACTGACACCAAAATTTTCTTCTCAGTGTTATTGGTTTTAATTTTCCTAGGACAATTTTATGCTAACATCATTATTTCAGTTTCAATGTTTTAAACATTTACCATAAATGATAAATATCAGTACCAAATGTGTTGCAAATGTCTTAACTTATTGAAAATTTAAAAATTTCTTACTTCAGAATAAGAAAGCATTTAGTATTTCAAAAGGTGGGACTCAGTTCTTTGACTGATTGAACTGTGAGGTATAATGAAACAATAATTGAAAATATGCAGGTGCTTAAAGAATATATTCTATCTCTTTGACTGATCTTCATTAAGTGCACCTAAATTACTCTAGTGACAGGCATCTTACTGTCATTGGTGTTGGCTCTATCATTGAAAAAAATTGGTTTTTAATCTTATCAATTGATCCCCTATGAGTTTAATGGTACAAACCATCCCCTTTCTATACAAAAACTTTGAAATATTTGAATATAGCTAGTGTGCCTCCACTGCCTTCCCTTTTCTAAAATTAAGTATCCATAGTTCTTTAGGCCATTCCACCTGTGGCATGCTTTTCAGATCTCTCACAATTCTCCTTGTCAACCTCTGAATGTACTTTGGTCTGAGGAACGGGGCCAAGCACTGAGCAGCATTTTTACTGTTTGCCTTCTTACTCAAGCAGAGTTCAGGGGGGCCAACCCTGCTTTCAGTGTGTACACCGTGTGAGCTTCAGTCTGTGCTGACAGCAGAGTCATGGAGACTGGAGACAGAAAACAGATCCTGGGCCCCCACTGGCCAGCTGTTTTAACTTGCACAAGACACTTAATCTCTCTGTCTCTCGGTTTTTTCATTTGTAAAATGGGAGTAATTATCCCTAAAATGCAGCTTTGTTGTGAGGTGAAAAGAAATGATATCTGTAAAGTACTCAAAGGTGTTTGATCATACATTAGCGCTAAATAACTATTTTTCATTAAGTAAAAATGAAGTTATGGTAGATTTTCAATTATTTAATTTTTGATGAGAAGTATAATATAATTTTTCTTTTGACACATGTCAGGCGATTTTCATCACAAATTCAAAAAAGTCAGGAATATGAGGCCTTAGCTCTGGACTATGCCATTCAGGTGCACAATAAGACAGCTGATTCTTGCCCTTCCCTTCCTCTCCAATGGCCACCTAGGGTTTTTTCTAAAGCTCTTTAATTTGGCATCCCATTCATGCTTGTCCACCTGGGTCAGGGACTCTGACTCTCAACTATCCCTTCCCGCAATGCATGGATCACTTTTGATGATGAATAGAGGGCATTGGTGAGGCTCATCCAACCTGAATATCAAGTGGTTTCTTCCTGATTTCCTTTTCAGAGTTTCAGTTACGCAAGCTTAGCAGTGGCTTTGGCTGCTGCAGACCATCCACACTGCTCTGATGACTTATGGGCAGCTTGGTTTGGGTGCCCAGAATGACCATTCTGCAGTGTATTTCATGCTGAGGCCACAGTTTCCACAGAAGTCAAGAGCTAAAGTTGGTGAGAAAGTTTCTTTTATTTTTAATTTCTCATTGAACAAATAAAATTATAAATTATTTAAACAAAATCCATGACTATTGCACTCACCTTTCCAAACCAGAATTCTTAACACTAAGTTCCAAAGAGAACTTTATAAAGCAGATATTTTCCATTGAGTTTTGTAAGTACCTGTGGACTGAATAATCGCTAGTGTAAACTGTTGAATGCTCCCCTGGGTCAAGGAACATAGTTAGTTACACTCTGTGAGGATGAGGGTGGGTGTCTTTGTGTACGTGGCAAGAGGGAATGGAAGGCTCTACTAAAACATGACAAATACCTTAGGGCTGTTATTGCTTGCCCCTTTGAGAAAAAGGTTCCTAGGTTTGTTGTACAGAAATGACTTGTGGAGTCAGGTGACTCATTAAGGCCAGGCTACCCTCCCCAGATGGGCATCTTTATCTCATGGTGTCCTTTGGAATTCCTTCTCCCTTCTTTAATGAAAGTGAAGGAGAGAGTTCTTGATTTCCCAGAATCATGTCCAACATTCAGAACAATTAGCTTATATGCTTGACTGGTGTCAGTTGGATGATGTCAGGGTCAATTAAAATAACCTTTGAGTTGAATTGAAAAGGAGCATTAGAGTTGAAGGAGGGAATAGTAAGGAAGGAAATTACTACTTTGATTTAGTGACTATTTTGCTGTAGAAAAACATTAAGACAATTATTCCTGGAATTCAGTATACACAGGATTGCCCCTTATTTATGGATCTTGGAACTCTTTTCTTCCCACCTCTCAACAGAACAATTCAAGATTCTTTGCTGAGACATCTAAGCACCCACATGCCATTGAGGCAGCAGGTGGTAGTCAAGTATGTTATATACCTCACCTTCCTTTACGTATCTCTAAGAGTTGCCATTGGGATCCATCATTCCTACAGCTCTTTTGACAAGTTCTGGGGAGTAGAGGCATCTCAAAGTGATTTATTTTGCTACGCACAACCATCATTTTCAACCCTCAAGTTCTACTCAAGGCTGAACTCCTTAACATCTTCCACCGTTCATTTGTTCTATGCCCATTCTATGATTGTCTGACCCCCCCATGGGAATATGCCCTTCAACTTAAAACCATCAAAATATTTTTCTGCAATATGTAAGCTTCTTTACTTCATTAGCCCTATTCAAAAGTACTTAAATTGTTATCAAGAAGCAGAGGAGATTGTACACCAGAGTAAAAAGAAGCAGGTCCCAAATCTCCAGAACTATGTATGTCAGTACATTTACATCCTGCTCAATTCTTCTTCAACATTAAATTGCATTCTTGATCTTTTTGGAAGAGGCAGTATCCAGTACTTCATAAGCCCTGAGAAGTTGAGAATACATCCATCATTCATTTAATCATTGATTCATTCAGCCCATCAACCAAGTTAAATTGAGTCCCTGCTCTCCAAAGCACAAAACAAATTCCAACCCAGATGGAATTTATCGCAGAGTATCATCTGTAGTACATGAAGGCATGTAGAAGCTGCTTCAGAAATATAGGAGAAAGAATGACTAACTTGGCGTCTAAGAGGCCAGACAGGGAGAGGGGCATAAATAGAAGCTTCAGATGCTAACAAACGGTGTATAGGTGTATTTCCCAGGATCCTGTTGGAAGCTTTGTCCAGAGACTTGGACAGAGAACTATGGGAATAGGAAGTTGGCTGGAGATGGGGACCAAAATCAGTGTCAGCAGGGCTCTAATTCCATTTCTGTAGACAGAACAATCCCTTTAGCTGAGGACATCAGGTAGTGGGGAGAAAGCCACAGAGTAATATGAGTAAGTAAGCGGAAACAAATCACAGTCCACTGTTACTCAAAATGCCCTCCATGGACTGGTGCTAGTTAGCAAATAGTTTATTATCAGTCCACGACACAATAAGGACAGAAGTTGGGGGTAACCATTTGCACTCTTTCATAGCAATATGAGAGAGTAATTTAAGTTTGTTGAATCTAACAACATAAAATTGAGTTTATATTTTTGTATATTAGTTTTCATTATTTAACTTTTTAGATAATTCTAGTTTTATTATCTTTCTAAAAATTATTGATCCATGGAGGCTTAGAAAAAATTTGCTTCATATAAATAATTTGAAAAACAGATATGACCTTAGTAAACAAAAGACCTGGGTTCAGCTTGAAGTGAATGAGTTCAGGAAAATTGTTTAATCTCTTGAGACTCAATTTCATGATCTGTAACATGGAGTTAATGATTCCTATCTCATAAGCTGGTCATAAGATTTAATTGGGATAGCATATTATTACATGGAAAAGTTAACTGAAGTTATTGATGTGTCTTAAAATTGTGACAAATAGAACAAAGTGCCTCAGTGTGTTGACTCTGATAGTTCACATTCATCAAGTTGGGAGGAGTCCTATTACCTTTTGCAAGTTATTCCATTTCATCCTAAATCCCAAACATTTTCTTCTTTGAGATTCATGACATTCCAACTATGGCACTTCCTGTCTGCCCCATTGATCTCCCTGCCTCTCCTCATCCCCTGAGGATGTTAGCACCTGCATCACAATTTTCCTCTCCATCTCTGTCTTTGTTGTCAGCAAGTGCAACTTCTAACCACTGGAATATCTCAACTGATAACCTAACCTCAAATTTTCTCTACTTTCTTGACTCCAATGACTTTCATTCATCTACACTCTACTTGTGAAACCCTCTATCATATTCATACCCGAAATCTCAATAATTTTCAGTTCTGTTCCACCACTTAAATATAAATATGTAAAACTAAAAATATGATATTAAAGCCTTATCAGTCAAAG